TGGCTGGTTTCCGCAGAGAGCAAGGAGAGCGGTGTAATAGCATTTGGTGAGTGTGCCCAGCTCCAAGCATTTCAACTGATCGCTCAGTGTTTTAATTGAACACATTATAAAAAGCAAAAAAACCCAACAAAACTCCCCAAAACAAAACAAGACAAACCCAAACACTAAATTTATATTGGTTTTGCCATGAGGCTGTGGAAATGTAATTAACCTGTTAATGTGGCTACAGAAGCAGTTTCTCATCATCTCAGGCTGATTTTAGGGTATGGTTTACAGTCCCTGTTGCAAAACCTTTGATTTAGGGTCATGCGTTCCACAGGGAAAGGCCGGGTAATACTACAATGCTTGGTAAGCTGCCCCAGCAGTAACTATCCTTCCCACACCACAGTTTGTTGTTTGATGTCCAGCTTTCCAAATATCTGAATATTTTTCAATCGCTCGCGCAGCCTGAACGCAGAACCACGGCAAGAATTGTAATCCCGTTTCCACGGTGCAAGCTTGAGTTGAGCCAGAAATACACGTTTCCTTGAAACACGGCGGCTCAGCTTCACCGAAAAAGTGTTTTATGGAATACCAGAATCCTGCACAACTCAACCCTTGAAGAAAATATACTCGAGCTTTCACACCATCCCGGTGAGCGGAAAGATAAATGTATGAGTGGCGTGTCAAAGGAAGTGCGTATTATGGAGGCATCATGTAGCTTTCCCAGGAAATGTCAGAGGCTTTTCCGCAGGGATCTGTTGAAATCAGTGACACTTATGAAATTGTTTTTTCTGTTTTTCAGTTTGCTTACAATAGATCTCCTGACTGATCCTTCAGCCGGTACAAGGAGAGATTCCTGCTTGAAATTACAGCTTTTCTGTCAATGCCGTTGAACACATTCCACGAGAATTGTCATTTTTCATCTGAAAACAGTCATCAGAGCTCCTTTTTGTAAAGCATTCTTTGAAGAAGCAAATGATGTGGAAAAACAAGCTGTCAGCAGAAAGGAAAACAGCATTTTCACATCTTGCGCAGCACACTAAGAAATTCCAGGTGTCAGAGCTAAAGCCATCGTTCTCGCAAAGGTTTCATCTGTGGTAAAAAGAAGAATTACTGGAGCTTCATTTCCAACTCGACCGCTCTGAAAAATTCCTATTCTGACTTTTGAGGTCCAAAGATTTTGTAGTTTATTTCGTTGAAACAGGAGCTCCACAAACCTTGCCAAGAGGGGCCAATAAGTTAATTTTGTTCTTAGAAATAACTTTACACGCCAAAGCATTCCTGCAAACCCAATAGCTCATGTCCTTCTAATTTATCTGAGACATGTCCACCACTGGCGCTTCTGAGCACAGACTACAAAAGCAAGATTAGGACGCTGGGCGGTATTAGGGGTGCCAGAAGCAGTTTGTTCAAAAAGGCGTGGACTACATTTTGGTAGGAGAAAGAGTGAAAAAAATCTGTGGAGAGAAAGTGGAGGATTTGAGGGGGAAAACAAATTAAGATTTTTAAAAGCTTCTTACCTCCCAAGCACATAGGGAATAGTCCCCTATTTGTAGGAACAGAAAGCAGAGGGACGAACATCTGAAAGGCCTGTTAATGCTCTCATCCTCAGCAAGTGTACAGGTGTTACCATAGCGTGTAGTTGGGCTTGTGGTTCTTAGGGGAAAATTAATCAGCTAATTGTTTATTAAATGAATTAACTAATTGTTCTTTGTAAGTGTATAGTTGTTACGATATAGTGTGTAGTTGAGCCCGTGGCTCTTACTTAGGGGAAAATGAATCAACTAATTGTTAACTAACTGCAGAAAAGGACAATTTTTTTTTGTGATGTCCCAGTTAGTCTAATAAAAGTTATCATTTGGGAACCAAGAGTTCTAGTTTTTTGTATGTTAAATGAACAAATTGTTCTTTGTAAGTACACAGTAGCTACTATAGCATGTAGTTGAACTTGTGGTTCTTATTTAGGGAAAATTAATCAACTAACTGTCGATTAAATTAATCAATTAAGTAATCAACTAATCGTTCCTTGTAAGTGTATAGTTGCTACTATAGTGCATAGCTGAGCTTGTGGTACTTACTTAGAGGACAATTAATCAACTAACATTTATGTTCATGCCATTAAACTGGGTTCAGGATGGTAAATACAGCCAGGACTTTATTTCTAACAGGCCTTTAAACAAACCAGAGAGCTTCTTGCAATATTGCAGTCGCAGGAGTTCACCGATCTGTGCTAGATTCCTCCCGCAAGAACCAGGTAGATGAAAACTGGTGTTTCTAATGTGAAAACAAAGCCATTTTTGGACAGTCACTTTGTATACACCCCACAGCAGCAAAACAAGGGACTTAAAGGCAATCAGATTCCCTTTGTAGTCATCGTGTTCTGACGCCTGTGCTTTCTAAACCCTGGGCTGGCTACACTCAAGGACTACAATCATTCCCGAAGGCGCAAGGAGAATAAGAGAAGACAACTTGCTAGGGCATTTTCTGTGCCGATTCGCAACTCGGATGCAGGAGGAGGGGAAAAATGTGACGATTTTTACAAGTGAGTATAATTAACGAAGCAAGAAAGAGCTCCCTTTCAAAGGCACTCCGACGCTTGTCAACAGCTGGCCTCCTTTGGTAAATATTTTATTGTCTCTCCTAAGAAGCCCAGGATGGAAGTCATATTTCCTCCAAGTGATTCCTTTGATACACAGTCTATGTATCACAGACTGTCTGGGAGCAGGCTGCTATTGTCTCAGCCTAATTTACCCGCATCCGTGCTGGAGTCATCAACTCTTCTCAATTGTGCATCGGGGGGGTGAGAATGCGGATGTTAAATCCAGGATTTTTCCCTTAAAACCTTTTGGTATTAGAGAAATTTTCTTTGTATACTGCAGGGAGTGAAGTGCAATCAAACCTTTTGTGGCTCTGCCTTATTAAGTCTCAGCGGGAAGTGAACAGCTTATTGGCTCCAATAATGGAGTTTAAAGGTTTGATTTTTATTGACTCTTTGCAAGACAACCTGACGGTCTATGAATTCAGGAAACTTCACCGCAACCCTTCTTTCATTTTTTTCCCCCCCCAAGCTACTGAATAATGCTTCTGTTACAAGAAATGTGACGGGCGAGGAGGGAAATGCATTACTAATCTCATTAATATAGGCATTTCATTTCAGATCCTTTCGAGGTGGAGAAGCTGCCCTTCTCTAATGGCAAAGGGATAGATATAAATGGTTACCATCCCGTAAAAGGGCTTATTACACGGTAACGAGGTAACTATTTTCCTCTGTGAAAATCACATCCTTTGCTGCTCTATTGATTTTACCAGCCAAAGTGTTTTTTCGTAAAGTTGTAAAAATTATCTTAAAAGCTGGTTCAGGGAGAAAACTTAATAGATCACGGTCACGTGTGTGTCCATCCGAGGGCATTCATGACCAGGAGCCAGCTGTCAGTCCAGCTGGAGCACGGCCTTCCCTTCCTACAGCTGTCCTGAGAGCATCATCAGTCTGCACAGCTTTTCCATGGGAGCTGGAGAGGGCACTTGGTGCATGTGGACACGATCCTGTGCAAGCTCTTCCCTTCAGGTGCAGCTCAAGCATGCAGTAGAACAGGCCCAAAGTCTTTTGGGGGTGGCTAGGGGCAGCTTCTGACCAAGGGACTGAATGGGAGATCTTGCAAGCTGGAAGGACGAGCCCCTACTGCTTGAGGAAGAGGCAGGCACATCACCGGAGAGATGTGCCAATGCACAGGTTGGGCTCCGTGTGTGAGAGACACAGCTCCACAACCTCCAGTAGAAGACTTTTGGTTCATAGTGACTTGCCCACAGCAGAGGAGGGGAAGGTCCCGACTGCAAATTGCAGACATCACTGATTTAGTTCAAGCATATGACCTTCTGCTTTTAGGATCAACTTTCCCCTCATGCACCACCAATCATCGCTTTCCAGCGTGCCGTGCTAATGATCAACCTGTCAACCTGGCCTCCTGGGACCAGCCCTTCGCTTTGTGAACAGTCCCACCGAAGCCAACGTGGGAAGCAAGCATTACTCACTTAAGCCTGGCTGGCAGCTGGGAGCTAGCTACCACTTCATTTGCAAGCATGTGCATCCCGTGAATGCAAACACGGAGCTGGGGAAGGGGCGGAAATCTCCTGTGCCAGGGTTTAAGACAACTGCTAGCAAGGAGGGATCTTCCCATGGATGGGTTCTCACATTGGTGCTTAAAGGCACCTGGTGCCAGTCAGGGCTCAGGACCTGCAGTTCCTATTTCTCTTCATCGTTGGGTGCCCAAGCTTTTCATTACCTAATCCAACTTTCCCCTGTGTAAAACTCAAGTACCTTAAAACTATAAGATGCTGCCGCAATACCCCTTGTGCCTCCAAACCAAGAAAGGCCAATGGAGACACTGTCTTCATGGCTCCTACAAGAGAGTTCCCCTTGCTCCCCAGTCACTTGCATAAGGCTATTACTTGAAGGTGGATTTAAACAAGGGCGGAGAATTAAATCATGCCCAATTTTCAACCTATTCAAACCTCTTGGCTTCCACCTATCTCTAATTTACACCCAATTATCAGGCTCTTTAAGATTAATTGCTAATAACTGTAAGCAAAACTCTCTTCCATATCAAGCAGCAGCAATGTGTGGTCTGTTCATTAGTATGCCTCGGCGGTCTGGTTGTATTTGTCTGCTCTGATGGAGCATCGCTGCACCACCATCAGGCCTGCCCAACTCCCCAAACCTTAGCGTATAGTTTGAAAGCCCGGGTGGGAGTTTGGGAGAAGCTGCAAGCAGTGCACTGTTGTGTAGGTGGTTTTGTGGCCTTTTTAAAAGCAAGCTCAGCCTTTGATATTGTCTCCGGATTATTGAAGGTTCGGCTACCGCTGACTGCAGGTGCATAGGATGCTGCTGTCAGGTACCAGGTTGTAGCCGTATTGGTCTAGAGGCAGAAGAAAGCAGAACTCATGGTAGAGGTGATCTCTTTAATTAGACCAACTAGATTTTTGCAGAAAAAATTCTTTAATTGCAATAAGATGATGCTGTGCATTTCTGCCTCTGGTTTTCAGGCACTGTAGGTGCTGCCTCAAAGGGAAGGGAGTCATCTCAAAGGTGTCTCAAAAGCTCCGAGAGCAGTCTGTTTATTCATAGATTCTTGCTGTTACTTAACAGGAAACTTTCATTTTTAAATACGTCTCTGAAAAACCTCTATAGCATAAACAATTAAACTGCATCTGGAAATTACAGTCATATCTACTGTGGGATAATTTACAAGGACATTAACTCAATCGGCAAATCCCAATTATTTAAGATGCTTAGCGTGCTGACTTCATCCACGACTAATTTAACCTCTGTTTATCTCATTTACAGGTAATAGTCAAATAAGAGGGAGCAAAATGCTGTTTAAAAAGTGTTCCTCTGGGGGAAAAAAAAAATCACATCCTGGAGGAATGGGAAATGAAAGAACAAACTTTTAATGGAAAAAAACCCCCACACTTCCCCACACTGTTTAGGATAGGGAAGTGAGAGCTTCATAAATGAGAAGCTAGGCCTATTACACAAAGAAATATTTTTATCTTTTAAATATCAGAACGCAGCCTTATCATCCCCATTGAAATAAAGTACTTAGCCATCTGCCGTTCCAAAGGGCAAACATCACATTGTTTTGCCAGTAATTTAAATAGTTCTTGTTATAATCGACTTTGGCTTCCCGTTCCTTACGCTGTGAGAGAAGACATTTTAATTGTCTGCAAAGAGTGCCGCTTTACCCTCGCTATCTCTGCAACCTGCCGGGGAGCTCAGCCATTATATTTATTTATATAACTCAAGATTTCAATGAACAAGGCGCTCCTCCGGATATTTTTTAATTGCCTTGTCAGCCTTGCAAGGTCCCGGAGGCTGGATGTACAGCACATGCCACCTGTATCGCGCACCGGAGACACTGGGTGTGAGAGTCAGCTCATCCCTGTGTGTCCCGTGGTGCACGCTGACTTGATCGCCCACAGGGCCAGGGGCTGCCAGGACGGCGAGATGCCTCTTCATCGCCCATGGGGCTAAGATCTCCAACGCACTTCATGGACATCGCCGACAACTGTTGGTCACCGATGACCCGAAGCTCAGTAGCCCATTAGGGGTCAAGCTGCTGATGTTGAAGCTAGCAACACAGAAGGAATTGAGCTGTAATCCCTTTTGCACAGCTGAACAAATGCCTCCAGCTCAAGTGGGGGCTTTTACCCTCTCCTGGGCTACACCTGGTTAGAGGGGAGCAGCTCCCGGATGCTAACAGCAGCTAACCGTGACAAGGAGAACAACGCCCCCAGAGCATTTCACTCCCACCCACCTCTCTTGCTCACTCTAACAACGTGTTAATGCACATTTTCCTTCATGTGCTAGGGCACAGCAAGCTTTCAGCAAAGGGGGCACACTCTTTTGCTTGTTCCAACTGTTCAAAAAGAGCAGAAACTCACTGAATCTTGCAGCCAAGAGCTCCTTTTCAGGTGGTGAGATTCAGTCCCTGAAGTGGGTGTCTGCTAGGGTGAGAGAGGGGAGTGAGTTGTATGCACCAACTGTGTTTATCCATTATTTGGCACAGCATAGAGCAGCCTCCACCTGCTCTAACTCTTGCCAGGCCCAATGGAGAATAAGCATGCTGTAAAGAGCTGTGTTTGCACCCTCCTGGTCTCTCCCACTGGCCAGAAAACCCCAGGTGCATCTGAGCCCATCTCTGATATTATTTATGCCAAGTGTCCAATGCATCGATTAGCCCACAGGATGCAGGACACAGGTCTTTATGACTCCTGGCTGGGATTTTTCTAAGCGCCCCTAAAAAGCCTGGTTTCAAAGTACACTGTAGCACCACATCAGCATGTTTCTCCTTCCTCCTGCCCTTTCACTGTTACAAAAGCCACGGCACAGAGACACGAAGGAAAACTTGTCATTTATATAGGCTGTGAGGCAGTTTGCACTGCTCCTCCAACAGTGCTTTACTCCGCACCTTCCAAGGGGGCAGCTCATGTTCCCTTGCTGCTCAATTAACACCCTGTTAAGATGCCCACCTGCAGTGGCTTCATCCCAGGGCTGTGGCACTTATCCATCTCCTACAATCCCCACAGGGTGCACAGGGACTCTGTTAACTAACAAGTGCATCAGGCACAATGCAATCCATGATGAGCAATGAGTTTAAGGGCCTATTAAGCACCTATATTCTCATTTAATATAATGCCTTAATTGCACTGCTTTTCAACTTCCTCTTGCGCAATGCACAGGTTGGTGCAGCGGGGTTCTCAGTACAAAACACAAGGCACAACCTTTTTGTCTCCATGAATAAAAAAGCCACAAAATGCAGCAATGGGATTTTATTTTTTACCATGTTTCAGCACTGTTGACTTAATTACTATTGCACAGCAGTAAAGCAGGAAGGGAAGGAAAGGAACAAGACAAAAAAAAATGGGGGAAGAAGAAAATAATGTACCTGAGATATGTCCTTATACGTCTGCCTCCCACATCAAGTCAGTGGTTGCACATGCATGCGTCCCACTGATTACATGACAGCTCTCATGTGTTTGATGGTGAGCTCGTAGTTGAGCACTGTGGGGTCATGCCTGAGAAGTGCAGTACAGCACAGATCCAGGTTTGCAAATATGCGGTACCTGGGCAGTGCTGAGAGATTAGGATAAGGTCAGTACATATGACATCTTTAACTGAATATTAGTATCCTTTCAGCCTTCACAAGCACAACATCCCCCCCAGATTTTGCACCATGAATTAGGAGAGGTCTCCTTCTTACTATCTGTGCATGGCACTGATGGGAAAGGGGGAGATAGATATGTCTTGGGTCTGGCCTCTTTCATTTAATCTGTGCCATTAGGAAGGACAATAATGTCAGGTGTTTTCCATAAAGCACTGAAACCAAAAGCACCTTACACACATTCAGCTGAAGTCTTTGCCTCTGGATGCCTAAGAGGATGTTCTGTTTCTTGGGCTCAGTACAGGATAGCAATTCACTGCCATACAGGTAACGTTGAATGCAAAGTGGAAAAGTGCAAATGGTCCTATCATCACTCCCCCCGGAATATTTCTCAGACAAAGAGTAAGTCTTCTTCTTGCAAACTGCCTATGTTTTATTGGTTCTAGTGGTAAGTGTAATAGGATGATAGGGATCTCACGTGGATTTGTCTTTTTTTAATACCCAGGTTGAGACTGTAATGAGATTTCCAGGCTAGATAGTACAGGGAAGTGAATGGTTAGGAAAGTAATGGATGCATTCAGATTGTAGTCAAATGAGATGTGTTGTGCTCTGGGAAATGTAGATTTGGGGATGATAAGGAAAGGCACAGTGTGGTTGTATCTATTTTAAGACGTTATCAAGGCCAGTGAGGAGAAACAAGGGCAAGGGTAATATTAAAGAAAGAACCCCAGGAGATTGGCGTTGGACTATAATAGTGGCAACGGGACAGCACAAGAACATTAGGAATAGCTCCTTTTCGATGCTGTGCTTTGTTCCTTCTAACAGTATTGATGTCTTCATTGCATGGATTTCACTGCTACAAGTAGCCATAGAAATGCAAGCAGGCAGAGGCTTACAAAGCTCTGGGAGGTGAAACAATATGCCTGGAAGCATAAAGTGACATTGGTTAAGACACCGTCAGAAAATGGACTGACTAGAATTGAATGATATGAGAAGCAAAGCTGCACTAGGAAAGGCCGCTGATCTGGCTGAGCAAAGGTGAGTCTTTACACTGTTAATTATCTCTTGTCAAGTCTTCTTCAACCAAAGACCCAGGTGCTTCAGAAGAGGTTTGCAGAAGTCTAAAAAGGCTTTTTCCTTTGTGATTTTTGAAGAATGGATTTCCTCTAATTGATGAATCCTTGAAGAGCATCTGCAAGCTGATTGAAAGTAACATTCATCACTGCTAGCAACCAGGCCAAAGCATTTAGCAATTTGTTGTACTCACCGCTGCAAAAAATAGCCTTCATGCCTATGATTTCTCTGTGTTTGAATAGAATACCTTAGCATTAATGCAATTAATTGTCAAACAGAATGAATTGGAATAAAGAGGATTAAAGTAAATGAATCCAGAAACTTGCAAGGGGGGGAAAAAGGATTAATTGTGAAGACCTCCAGATTTGTCAGTCTTCATCCAAATGCTCCCAGATCCATAGTGATAAGGATTGGGAGAAGAGAGGACAGTGGCAAACATGCCTGAGGAGTCTTAGCATGCCTTGGCATGGATTACAGATGGTGGAGGAAGAAGAAACCCTTGCCTTGCAAAGGCAGCCTGGGCTGATTCAACAGGAACTCCCAGTTTTACAAAGAACATTTTTCCCAATAGTTCAGAATGGGCAAAGGCATAATCAGTGAAAGAAGGGGTTGCAAGCAGGTGAAAGCAGTCACCTTTGGTCTTTTCTCTGTTCCTGTAGGCACAAATATTACTGCTTACGTGAAGGCTGCGTTTGTCCCCGTTTCAGAGATAAAGGCATGTTGCAGATATGTCAAGTGTGTGACACCGATGGGTATAAGGCAAATCAATACAAGGGGATATAGCTGCTTATTAGCTATGCATAGAAATGATCGATTGACCCACTGGACCCAGTCACAATCTATAATATTTGATTATCTATTGCTATCTCTAATAACCATTTATAAAACATTTTAAAATAACCTTTAATTATGATGAGAGCAGCTCTTTAATATAGAAGGCTAACAAACCAGCTAGAGGACCATCCTGTAGACCAGACTAGCAAAACCCTTCAGCCCCACACACTGGTGTATCCACGCAGCCCCTTCCACTCAGCAAGTCTGGGGCACAAGCACCATCCTCCGGCTTGTTGCACACGGAGCTGCCCCTGGGACATCAGGGACCAGTACAGGGCCCCCCCGTTCCTCCTTAGGTGGCTTTTAGATGCAGAAAAAGCTGTATTTTCTTTTATCACTGAGAAGGGTGCACCTAAACCATAAACCACAGACCTCTGAGGTTTTATTCCATTTTTCTGACTGGTAAATGTGCTACTTAAAAGGGAAGCTGCTTCACTTATGCACCAGCTGGGGACTTGACCAAATTACTCTGATAGCATTAAGAGGGTGAGGTTACCTAGAGAGGTTACCCATTAAGAGGTTACCCGGGGAGGTGGTGGATTCTCCATCCTTGGAGGTTTTTAAGGCCCAGCTACACAAACCTTGGTTGGGATGATGTAGTTGGGGCTGGTCCTGCTTGGAGCAGGGGGTTGGACTAGATGTGACTTCCCGAGCTCCCTTCAACCCCCATTTTCTATGATTGTAAGAGGAGCAAGCAGAACTCCTCTGCACATTAAACTGGGCCCTTTTATAATATTCAAATGCCTCTGAGATTTTGTTAGTGGAAGTGTGAATATTATCATCTTATGCTGCTTGAAATCCTAACACATATCTCACTTGGTTTTCAGAAACAACACTTGGCTTTATTTTTAAATCCTGCTGCAAAAATTTCTTAGAAGTCTTTTTTGCCATGAGCAATACTGCCACGGGCAACTCAGAGGCCTCCCAAGTCCTTGCCCTGTGTTCATATGCGTATATTTTTTAATAGAGGAGAATGGCAGGAAAACAATTTCCTTAATTAGCAAATGCTTATATAACTTGCCTAAATATAAAATAAGACTTGTTTTCCACAGTCACTGACCCACTGGAATCCGTTGTCATGCAGAGCTCCAGCGCAAAAAGAGATGTGAAGATTTGGCTCCTAAAATAAGCCTAGCAGAAAGTTACCCTCTTAATCCTTTGATACCAAACAAAGGCTTCCAGACAGGCATGGGCGGATGAAGCATTTTGAAAAGGGAAGTGTAGATGATGAGGTATATTGTCCCATAAAAAGCAACACATTTTTCCCCCGTTAAAAATGAACCAGAAGCTTTACTAACACACTAGCTGCCAAGGGCTGTATTACTCAGTTTAAGATTGAAGCAAAAACAAATACAACTTCATTGCAATGACTTAAAAACAGATTGCAGGGCTGTGAAATAGGAGCTTCATGACCAAGAGCAGCTAATAGCAGAATTGCAGAGCAAAAGGTAGCTTGATTAGTGAGACATCAAGACCCTTAAAAAGGAGAGAGGGATGTTAACACCTCTGGAATGAAGAGTTTAGAAGGAATCAGGTAGATTTTCATGAGCCATGAAGTCAGTTGACTGTCTCGTTGCTGCCTGAATGGAAACGCTGCTGCTGTCAGGCAGGTGGTTTAAAAGTTTGGGTGAAGCAGGAGTCAAAGGGGTGTGCAAATGTACCACTGCACCCTGCCCTAGATCGGCCCATGTTGACAGGGGTAGCACTGCACGGGACAGCCTCATTGGACCATATCAGGAAACAAGGAGAATTGCAGTCTTTTCTGAGCATGGTAAGATCTTGGATGCATTGATGTAAGTAGGACTTTTGCACCCGGTGCTGATTCGATTCGGAGGAGATTCAGCCCGATTCGGTGGCCGAATCTCCACATCCGAATTGAATCAGGAGACCATTAAAAAGGTCCGAATTGATTCAAAGCTCTCCGAATCTTCAGAAAAGATTCAGAGAGCTTCGATGATCTAGCCGCCCCATTTTCACTGGACAGAAGCCTGGCTCCCTTTTACTTGAGCTCTAGAAATCAGACCCCATCTAACCATACGGGGGGGCTCAGGTTTTGGAGTCCTTATTCAGCCGAAACTCCAATCCCAGGCCCTGGCAGTTCGGTCTGAATGAGACATGCAGAACTGTTGCGCTCGGACCTAAGATGGAAAATACTCAGATCTGAGTTTTGCAGCAATCCCTTGTCTCTGCACTGAGCCAGTTTGAACCCGGGTCCTCTTTGCTGTCCTAACAGGCATTAGGAAGGAAGCACGTGAGGAAAATGTGTTCCCCGCATTGAAACAGATCAGTAGACCAATCTTTGCTTCCATATTTGAATTTTATCATGGAGAACATAAATATACACTCAGATTCCAGTCGAAAGCATCCCAACTTTGTCTGTTGTACCTGAGGGATAGACAGACACATCCTTTGACTACATGAAGGCTTAGGAAAGCACAGTGAGTCCGACTGATAGGTCTTGAATCCAGAAGGGACCACTATCAGCAGCATCCGAACACCAGTTGATTAATCAAGCTACTTTGGACTTCAAGCAGTGTTGGGGACATCATCATGATTTATGCTCTATGGAAAAAAGGAAATAAACAGGTCAATTGATACTACCATCCATTTTCACAAGCAATGTGCCGGTATTTATCATTCTAATGAGATGGCTAAAGAACAACGTAAAAATAAAGCAGAACACGCTCAGACCGTGTTTACTTCTCATCTAATAATTGGGAAGCAGGGAAAGGGGCAGGAATTGTGGTGTTTGGTTCTATCAAGCTCGTCGCAGGAAAATTTAATTTGCTTTTCAAATACATTTTGCTTGACCTAGCTTTCACCAAGTTTCAGTAGCAATGCCATGCTCATTTATAACAGAGTATAGAGGAACATTGTCCCAGTATATAGTTATCAGAAACACTTTTGCTAATTCAAATGTAGTAGGCTAGTTAACACAGCAGTGGATCTTCCTTTTGTGGCAATGGGTATAATTGGTACAAAAGGACTTACTAAGTACCTTGGAGTCTTTATTATCAATAGATCTGAATGTATTTATTGCCTCATATTATCCTCTGATTGAACAGCACAAAGCCCAAGGAGTAAAGCTTGTTATAGTAGCTACCCTATTACCTTTTTCTCTAGGATCATTACAGATAATCTTTAAGATGATTAAGAAAGCAGCTCTTTAAGAAAATACACGTTCTGTATAAATAAGAGACCATCTTGCAGTAACTTGGTATTTGACTGCACAGTATGTTGGAAAGCCACAAACATTTTATGATAGCTGAACTTTAAACCGTAAAGAGTCTGTTATGGATTTATGAACTTCTCAAAAATTGACCTCATGCCTCTCATCTCGGAGGTTTCTATATTTCTTGTTGCTGTAATTCCATAAAATATTGAATATTTTCCATACCTCGAAGGCCATCTCTCGCAGAAGGCTGACGGAGAGAAATCCAACATTGCCTCAAATGTGCAAATGCAGTCTTCAGACGCTGGAGGAAATGGGTGTCTGAAGATCAGGACATCAGATCAGAAACCAAACTCATGGTTTATCAAGCAGTCATGACACTGTATGGAGCTGGGATGTGGACAACATACAGGAGACACCTCAAGTCTCTGGAGAAGAGACTGCATCAATGCTGCCTGTGGAAGATCCTCTAAATCCAGTGGAAAGATGGATATAACAACATCAGCGTCCTCTCACTAGCAAACACCATGAGCATCAAGGTGATGATCATCTAACATCAACTTCACTGGGCTGACAACATCATCCAGATGTCTGACTTCATGTTTCTGAAGCAAGTTTTATTCTTCCAGTTCATTCAAGGCGTATGTTCAAGAGGAGGGCAGAGAAAGCACTTCAAGGACATCCTTCAGGCCAGCTTGAAAAAATGCAACATCCACTCATCACCCAGCTGCTCCAAATGAAGGAAGAGTCTGCTGCAAGGATCTCAGTACTTTAAAACCATATGATAACAACAGAAGGTGGAAAAGCAGGAGTGGCAGTCAACCACCCCACACAGAAACATGTGCCTGAATTGCAATAGAGTTTGTTGATCCAGTCCGGCCTTGTCAGCCATCTTTGCCCCCACTGATAAGACAATCATGGAAAACAATCGTCCCCAGCTGTGAGGGTTTGCTGAAGA